GCGAACCGACTTTTCCAGTTTCCCGCTCCCAGAGACCCCCAGGAGGCCCCAAGAGGCCCCCAAGTGGCTCCAAGAGGCTCCAAAGAGCCCCAAAGATGCTTAAGAGAGGTCCGACAAGCTCCACAACGCCCCCGTGGAGGCTTCAAACCTGCTTCCAAAAGGCCCCCGAGAGGCATCCCTCGATATCATCCCAGCGAACATCCGAGAAGCCTCTAACCCACAACCCAGACACGGTTGCGGGATGGGCCCAGAATTGCGACCTTTGGTTCGCATTGGGGGCTGGGGGGGCCTTGAGGGCTCCAAGAGGGTTCCGAAGGGGCACCGCACCCCTCCAGAGGCTCCCAAGCTGGCCCAAGATATTCCCAGGAGGCTCCAGAGAGCCCCCCAAATGCCCGAATAGAGGCGCCCTCTGCCCCAACAGGCCCCAGGAGGCCCCAAGAGACTCCCAGGAGGCCTCCACGACGCCCCAAGAAGCCACCCAAAAGGCTCCAGAAAGACCCGAGAAGCTCCCGAGAAACCCTCACCGAGCTCGCAGGAGGCCTCTACACAGACCCTCAGAAGCCCGCCAGAAGCCCTTCGTGCTCCATGTTCCGGAACAACCCTTCGGAACACGTGGCCCTGGCTGCACCCCCCACCCGCCCACCCAATGTCGAGGCCCGAGGACGCCCCCATGACACCCGCAAGACGCTCCGGAAACGCCTCTCCCGCACACGTGGATCAGGTGACAATGATGCTGATCGTCGGTGGTCCGTCGTCGTCTTCGTCGGTCGTCGCTGGTACGCTACAGGCCAAACCCTTCCTTGAACTTCGCAGTATCCGCCCGAAAGTCATGCTTGGGTGAAAGGGAGGAACCCGGAAGACCACGTGGAAAAGGTCCCATGGAAATTGACACTGGCTTCGGAGTCGACTAGAACCTAAGCGCGCGCGAAGCGCGCGCGTGGTTCTAGTATCATTTAAGCCGCATAATTCTCGAACGCTTTCTACACGTGCGTAGGGCAGGAAATCAGCGAGGAATGTCAATGAACCCTAATGGGACTTGATCCTTTTTTAATGTGGAAGCGACTGCAGAGCTGATGTGTGTTGGTATGATGTCTACATGTGCACACACGTGTCGACTCGGTAGTGTTCTTTCATTGCTATATACAATTTGATGTGTGTGCCAGGGGCGCGCATGTTTTGTTGTCTGGGGCAGGGATGACGGAGGGAAACAGTGGTGGTCTGTCTTGGATGATATGGCTTCCTATCGAAATTAGCGATGAGGCAGGACAATCTGTACATTGTATGACCAGAGGGAGGAGCAATCAACCGGCGGGGGATGCCAGATCTGAGGGAGGAGCAACATCCCCGCGGGGAATTCAGGTGTACTATTTTTGTTTTGTTCTTTTGCTTGAGAAGAAGACTTACGCTATCGGGTCGGCAGGCACCAGTCTCACACGACACCTCGGTATGCCACCCAGCGCGTGGTGCCCGCGAGGCGCCCAAGGCCCATACCCCTGACGTCTTAAGTTCCTTCATGCCGTGACCCAGGAGTTTGGACCCCTTCCCGGGGACCGGCTCTTCACCCCGAGCCGTTGTTCGACGGCCCCGAGGCCCGAGGAGGGCCCCCGGGAGACCGAACCAATCGCGAAAAGGAAGCAATCCCACCGTGGTCTCTTCGCAGCGCGAGGAGGTCTGGGGGGCGGGCACCCGGCGACGCCCCGGCACACACACACACACACACACACACACACCCTGGCGCGGAGGGCGCCCACGGGCGGGCCCCCGGCGACGCCTCGGCACACACACACACACACACACACACACACACACACACACACACACACACACACACACACACACACACACACACACACACACACACACACACACACACACACACACACACACACACACGCCAGCGCGGAGCGCGAGCCCACGCGAGGCGCCCACGGGGCGGGCCCGAGGCGAGACCTCGGCATGCTTCCCCCCCCCCCCCAGGCGCGGAGTGCGCCCACGCGGGGCGCCCGCGGGGCGGGCACGAGGCGAAGCCCGGGCGTGCCCATCCGAGCACCGGCAGCCCTGGGATGAGAGCGCGTCGCTCTGGAGCGCGCTGGGAGCGTCCCCGCGCGCCACTCATGGGGCGAGCGTGGTGCCCGGCACGTCCTCCAGACCCGTCGGCTATGAAGAGCCTCCGCATGAACTGCCCCCGTCCGAAGGGGTCCTCATCCTGGCCTCGTCCTTGCAGGGGATGACGACTGGGCGGAGTCTGGAAGCGCTGTGTCCACATGATCTGCCACATACCCCCATCGAGGGGAGAGACGAGGTGGTTGAAGCTCGCAGGGGGGAGAAAACACAAAAGATTACGATCGGGCAGCCGCCCTCCGCGCCCCAGCTGTTGCTGCTCGACTCCTCGTGCCCCGCCCCACCGTCGCCGTTGACGACGACAGAAATCGCCCCAGGGGGTGCGCCAGGCCAGAAAGCCCGCGGCTCGACGCCGGACGAGCATCGCCGACGATGGGGCCAGAGGCGGAGCCGGGAGGCTCAGGGCAGTTGCAGAGGGAAGTGCAGCAACAAAGAATCGAACCCACCGCCATGCGAGCCTAACGTAACCAATTACACGCGTGAGGCACAAGACAATGCCCCAGTCGCCCTTTGACAAACTGTTCTCAGAAGTTTTGAAGGAGTTTCCGGACGACTGGCGGGACTCCGATTGAATCTCTCCGTGGCCCCCGTTGTATATGCCGAATGCCGAAGGTCCAAACGCGACGTGCTTCTTTTTGCATGCATAATGCTGCGACGGGTCCCGTTGGTGTTATTTTAGCCCGTTGCCAGCCCATGGCGTACGAAACAGTTGCCGCCAGAGTGCGTTGAAAAGCTGCCGCGCCGTGCCGTGTCGCAGCGCCTTGCGGCCAGAGTTCGACTTTGCTGGGTGTGCCTATCTCCCGCGGCGGGCCTGGTCTTCGGACGACGAACAGGTTACCGCCCGCGTGCCGTGCCGTGCCGCGCCAGGTTCCCAGTACAGTGCCGTTTTTAATACATGCTCCGCGTGCGGATCATGTATTAAACATGCAGGGATTCAGTATTAAAAACAACGATGAGCTCATGCATACATTTATTCATAAATTCATCATGTGTGAAAATCAAATAGTTTTCAACTCACATGTATTAAAAACTGCCCTGTATGTCCCCGTGCCGCGCCCTGCGTGGGCTTTCCGCTGGCGGGAAAACTTTGCCGCCCGGCGTGCCGTGCCGTGCCGTGGCGTGGGTCGCCCGCTTGCCGTGCCGTGCCCGCGTGCCGTGGCGTAGGGTGGCGTTTCTTTGGGGGCGAAGGAGTCGTCGCTCGCGTGCCGTGCCGCGTCCGCGCGCCATGCAGCGCCGTGTTTTTTCTGTTGGGGGGGGAGGGGATGCGAAAAGGTTGCCGCCCGCGTGCTGGACCGTGCCGTGCACACGTCGGCGGAGAGCGAGGGGGGAAGCGAGAAGGAGGAGGTCCTCTCAGAAGGCGGCGGGACTTCTCAGAAGCCCTCGCGCCTTCTGAGAAGTTGTCTTTGTCTTCGGGGAAGGCTTGGGAAACTTCTCTGGAGGCTTGGGGACTTCCGACCTTCTGAGAAGGCCTGCCCCTTCTCACTTCCCCCCTTCGCTCGCCGCCCAATACGGTCGGGGCCCTGAAGAAGGAATCCTTTTCGTTGGGGAGGGGCTCCGTGCTCCTTAATTGTTCTGCAGCTTCCCTCAGGTGTTCCTCCGGTTGTCGATGCATGTTTCAGTCTCGCGCGTTTTTTTTGTTTGTGTTGCTCGATGGTCCAGGATGGTCCTCGCTGGTTCTCGCCGAGAAAAACATCTGGAGAACAGGGGCCTCGTGCCTTATCTGTCGCTCCCTGGGTCAGCGCCCCAGGGCTGTAGTAGTCTACTTTCGAATGCGAAAGAGCTGCCGCCCGCCTGCCGTGCCCTGCCCGTCCCGTGCCGTGCCCGGCTGCAGGGACTGCGGCAAGGCTGCCGGCCCACCGTGCCGTGCCGTGCCGCGCCTGACGTGCAGGATGCGGAGCCCTGGCATCGCTCGGACGTGTGCATTTTTCCTCGGCGAGGACCATCGAGGAGCATCCTTGATCATTTGGCGAGAAAACCACGCACAAAACCGAAAAAAAACACATGGAATGGACGTCCGAGCGATGGCCAGGGCTGAGCAGCTGCTGCCTGGCCGTGCCTGGCGCTCAGGCTGCGGCAAGGTGGCCTGCCGTGCCGCGCCTGGTTTCCGAAAGGAAAAGCCACATAATCATAAACTTTTGGCGGTCCGCGCGGATGTCTTGGACCCGCGCCTGGGCCCCCCCCGGCGTCGCCACCCCTGGCGCGCTCCGCGCGCCAGGGGGGATCCAGCGCGGATCCAAGAAATCCGTGCGGAGCGCCAGAAGTCTATGTTTCTGTGGTCTTTCTTCTAGGTTTGCAGAACGCGACAGTGATCTGCCGGAGAGGCACCGCGTAGGCCCCTGCGGCACGGCCCGCACACATGCACACAGCCCCCACGCACGCCTCCATTGCAGAGGCTGGCCCACCAGGTGTGCTCGCGTGCAGCGTTGCCCTGCGGGGCCCCGTTCTCTGCACCCGTTTGGACTCACAGCGTGGACCCCTGGAGGGCTCGATCCCCGGACCAGCTTGAAGTCGGGCGTGTCCCCCTACAGGGAGATTTTTCAAAAGTAGTCAAAAAATAGTCGGGGTACGATTTCGTACTAGTTTTGACATTCATTGAGCATGTTTGGACTATTTTTCATGTTTCGTCTAACACGCCCGACCTAATAAGGAGGGGGAAAAAAAACACACAGACACCATTAATCGTCGATTCCCAGAGGATATGGGAAACTATGGGAAGTGGGGGTGAAGACGAAAACCGATAACATATAGGAAAATATGGGGAGTCCTGTGACTTGTTGTATTTGTGTGTGTGTGTGTGTTCCTGGTGTGTGTGTGTGTGTGTCCCTGGGCCCCTTCACCTAAGACCAGCTGCCCATCCCTGGCCGTTCTGCCTCGAGCCTCGCTTGAAGCCTCGCCTGGCCGCTCCCTCTGCCTGCCTGCATGGGCGGCGCGCCGCCGCACGGAGGAGGCCTGCCGGCCCTCCCGAGCAGGAGCCCAGGGTCAAGCAGTGGCGAAGCGTCTTGGCTGGCTTATAAGCCCACCAAAGAATCTGGACGCCCGAAATGGGTACCGAAAGAATGGGTACTATGCCCAACAGCAGTTCCTGTTCATTTTGAACAGGATCCGCTGTCCGCGCCGCCGCGGCCCGTGTCCATTCGAGACAGGAGGCCGCCCGCCCAACAGCGGCCGCTGTTGGTTTGGGACAACATTTGCTGTTGGGCATAGTACCCATTTTTTCGGTACCCATTTCGGGCGTCCAAAGAGAATGTCCTAAGGACCCTCTGTGGTCTGTGCGAGATGTTCTTAGGGCACGTCTGGCTGAAAGGAGGAGGCCCTCTGAGAGGGCGAGGGCCTTCCGGGCTGGCATCCTCTCGAAGACGACAAGACTACACAAACACAATTTTCCTCGAGCAGTGGCGAAGCGTCTCGGCGTGCCCATCGGCCCACCAAAGAATGTTATCATAACCTTTGGTGGTCTGCACGAAAACATGTTCTTGGAACATTTCTGCCTGAGACTGTCTTGGTGTACTGAACATTTTTGGGTTCTGGGAGAATTTCGTAGTAGGCCTATAGGAATGCCGAGACGGTCGGCCCCTGCTCAACGATGGGGAATCAGCGGTATTATCTGGAGGGTTTGTCCGAAGGGCTTTGGCGGCCCGCCCTCCTCCTCCTACTCCTCCTCCTCCTCCTCCTCCTCCTCCTCCTCCTCCTCCTCCTCCTCGGTCCTCCTCCTTCTCCTCCTCCTCCTCCTCCTCCTCCTCCTCCTACTGCTACTCCCTCCTCCTCCTCCTCCTCCTCCTCCTCCTCCTCCTCCTCTCCCTCCTCCCACTCCTCCTACTGCTACTCCCTCCTCCTCCTCCTCCTGCTCCTCCTCCTCCTCCTCCTCTTCCTCCTCCTCCTCATCTCGTCCTCCTCCTCCTCCTCCTCCTCCTCCTCCTCCTCCTTCTCCTCCTCCTCCTCCTCGGGTCGCCTACGGCACGGGGGGAAACCGTGCAGCACCACCACCCCGCCCACCTTGGCCAGGACGACCCTGGGCTCGAGGACGGGTGTACACACCCCGTGCGGGCCGAGGCCCGGGGCAGCTGTGCACACTCCTGGGGTCCTGGGGTCGTCTTGGGCAGGCATGGGGGGCAGGAGCGGGAGGCCGAGGACGAGGGGGAGGAGGACGGTGAGGAGGAGCGAGGGAAGAGGGAGAGGAAGAGGAGGAGGGGGGGAGGAGGACGGTGAGAAGGAGAACGGGGGGGAGGATGAGGAGGAGGAGCCGTGGGACGGGGAGGAGAGGAGGACGGGGAGGAGGAGGAGGAGGAGGCGAAGGCGAAGGAGCAACAGGACGAAGATGGAGAACGGGGAGCAGCAGGGGGAGCGCGAGGACGAGGGCGAACACCACGGGACGGAGGAGGAACGCCGCGAGGAGGAGGAGGAGGAGGAGGAGGACAAGTGTAAACCAAATTCGTGCGAACGACGTTGCACTAAACCTTGCATCCAAGCTTCCTGTTCATAGGCCCCATACAAGACCTGATCTTCATTGCGGGAAGTGGGCCGCCGAAAACAACCATCTGAGAGTCCAGTCGTCAATCGTGCCAAACAGCATTCTTGGGATTTCAGCGCCGCGGATCAACGTGACTGTTGCGTCGTGATTAATTCAAATCGTACCAGAACGCCGTTCCTGGGAAAGAACACATCGAATCAACATGATTGTTGCGCCCTGACAATCTTGAACCGTGCCAGAACGCCGATGATGGGATTCCAGCCATGCAAATCCTTGAAACTGCTGTAGAGGTTTAAGACGAATGTTCGCGGCGCGACGGCGAGAACCAAACTTGAGCCGCTAGCGATGCGTGAAAGTGTGAAGATGAATGCGCGCGGCGCTGAGGCCAGTGCCGCATTTTGAAAACCACCCACTCTCCTTCCTTGAAGCTGTTGTTCAGTTTTCTTTAGGCCAATGAGCGCGGCGTTCAGGCGAGAGCCGCATTTTGAAGAAACATCCGCACTGCATCCTTGAAACTGTTGCCAACCTTTGAAATGAATGTTAACGGCGCTGAAGCGAGGGCCACATTTGAAAACTACCCGCCTTCAGCCTTTGAAGCTGCTGCTAACGGTGATGGCGAATGCGCGTGACGCTAAGGCGGAAACCACTTTTTGGAAACGACCCGCCTTCCATTCGTAAAGCTCCAGGATTATAAATGGTCTGGATTTCTAAGGCGATAGGTCCGGGCCGCCCTACCTAATTACATGTCTGGGGGTCGGCAGAGAGGAGTTACGCATTCATAAGGAAACTGAATGAAGGAGGAGTGGGGAGGAAGACGGTGAGGATGAGCGGGGAGGGGGAGGGAAAGGACAGGAAAAGGAGGGGGAGGAAAAGGACGGTAAGGAGGAGCACGGGGTAGAGGATGCGGAGGAGGAGCCCCAGGACGAGGAGGAGGACAGGGAGGAGGCGGAGGCGAAAGGAGCAACAGGACGAATATGAAGGACAGGGAGCAGCATGAGAAGCGCCAGCACGAGAGTGAACACCGAGGAGGAGGAGGAGGAGGAGGAGGAGGAGGAGGAGGAGGAGGAGGAGGAGGAGGAGGGAGGAGCAGGAGGAGGAGGAACTTTAAGGGTAGCTCTTTGGGAGATGTTACAGTATCGGGAGCATAGCTCGCGCGCCGCTGCCTTGGGCTCAATGCACGCGCGCCCTATTTGCCCGGATACCTGATGGTATTCGCTATTTGCATGGACATCTATTTGCCCGGACACCGCGAGTGTTCGCTATGTGCTGGAAAGATCATTACATCGATCTTATCCTATCTTATCCGCCCACCCCTCATACTGTACCTTCACAGCTACAGCAGAACGATGGACGCTATTTGCCATCCGATGTCCACGGTCAGCGCCTTGGAATCGGATGCTATATGACAGGCTATATGCCCTATTTGAGTTACCAGGCTCACTTTCGACTTGGTAGCGGAGCAGGCCGCACTCTCGTGTGGTCAGCTCTTGCTCTTCTCAGCCTCACATTCTTCGGCACGATCTTCGTGACCACCTACTACCCTGCGCCACCACTCCCAGTACATTTACGAGGATCGATTCAAGAGCAAGAAGCTACACGAGAGGTACGACGTCTAGACGACCAAATTGGTACCATATACGCTTCATCATTGCGTTACTATCAACTGCTCGGCAACGAGCCAATAACGCAATACCTGAAGCAAGGGCGGGGAAACCCGCCAGACAGAGCGCCTCGAAGACTCGACAAGGCGCTACCCCAGCGCGACACCGCTCATCATAACCATTCTTCGTTACACATTCTCGGGCTAATCGTTTTCGCTATCATATGGTTCGCGCTGGGGGCAGCAATCGCACACATGCGTCGGGGAGATAACAGCACCGATGGGCAAACACATGGCCCATATTGGGACCCTCAGGGTAATGTACCTTTTCGTGAGTACATTTACGAGGTCAACGCGTGGCTCAACGTTACAAGCGGACGTATGACGCCACAGGCCCAAGCGGCCGCAATACAACGCGGCCTGGGAGGCCTAGCGAGGACACTCGCCATGAGGGTACCGCCTGACATTATAAACTATGGTGCTGACATTGATGGGGTCCACACAGACCCAGTAACTTACATCATGTTCCTCCTCAGCATGAAGTTCGAACGCCTGGAAGATGAGCGACAGCTCACTTCCGGCACACAACTCATCGACTTCCATGTGCCTCACGGGGAACGAATCGATGTCACTCTTACCCGATTCGAAATGGCCCGACTTGAGGCACAGTCGGTGGGATTCGACCTTCCTAACTTCCAACTGCTAACCACTATCCTATTCCGCGCCTTAGGCGTCGGCAACCAGAAAGCCATGCAACTCTTACAGCCACTCAACCACCAAATGCCTCGAACACAACAACAATATGATGAGCTGCTGGAAAGGATGCGTTCGGTAGGCCACCTATCCGAACGATCCCCTGGCAACATAGGATCCGTGTTTGGAAGAGGAAGGGGATCTGGTAGTGGAAATTTCTACACTACCTTGACTACTGAAGCCCAGCCTGGAAACGGGCCCTCAAACATATGGGCCGATGACCCAGGAGAATCCACTGCTTTATTAGCAGGGGATCGATCACAACCAAGCTGGGCAACCAGCCCTCCTTCTAGAGAACCACAACCACACCGCTCGTTATGGGGGGAATCAAATCCCCTAACCGACGGTGTATCCACCTATTTAGGAGACGAAGATTTCGACTCCGGCACCGATACAGACACTATATCATCAGATGGTGTTGAAGCTCTAGATTGGTCAGATATCATGAATATGGATAACGACAATCAGCGCGCTGAGCATTTATTCTGGCTGTTACAACAGGCTAAACGAAGGTGGAGGAGGTTCACACGAAAACCAGTGCGTCGTGTTAGAAGGAGGATACGCGGAAGCTTTAAAGGAAAGGGTAAAGGCAAGCGTGGTCGTCGGAGGTTGAACGGGCGAGGCATCGCGGCATTTCTCCAGAGGCTCTCAGATGAACAACATGATGAGATATTCTTTGGGGGAAAAGGCCGCGGTAAGGGCCTTTGAGAGACCTCAGGTAAAGGTAAAGGTAGGCGGGGAAACCCGCGAGGTAGAGACGGCCAGGTTCTCAAATGTCATGAGTGTGGTAGTACCGATCATCTTGTGCGAGATTGTCCAGCGAAGGGAAATGGAAAGGGCATGTCGTCCGAAGTCCATTTCGGCTCAAGCACACCATCCATTGAGTATCTGAGCCTCCAGGACTTTGAGGCTATGGAACAGATATTTTTCACATGGGTCGTTGGCATGGACAACATTGACGAGCTCGAGGGGTATGGACATGGATTATACGCGTATTACCTCGAGTACGTCCGCCGGTTCGTCACGGGCAGTAATGAACTCACTCCCGTGGAACACGGTACGCTCGGAAACGAGCCTCTTTCCTTCTTCGACTGGATGTTCGGGAACCCAGGCAACATCATGGCCTACGAGAGCGACGACGAGGACACCA